TTTTACCTGTATACATAGCTCCTCCTTTTTCAAATAATTTAGCTGGTCTATCATATGGTTCACCACAGATACCACATTTACCTCCTAAATAAAAGATTAAAAATGACATAATAAAACCAAAAAAACAAAAGAAGTAACAAACCGTTTGTCTTCCATTGATGTTGAATACCACCACAATACATTTCCATATGGTTATTATAAGTACAACATTGTTTAAATGATTGATCAACAAGCCAAGCTGAACTACGACCTACTGGATCTAATAGATAACCGTGGCCATAAATTGATACAAAACAAGATGTAAATATATACAGTAAACGTAACATCATAATCATATTTAATAAATACAATCGATTTTAGATGCCTTCTTTATAAGAAATAATTTTCCTTTGTATTTATAGTCATGGTTCTTTCCTTTTTGTTTTAATAACACGTCATTATAGAGGAGTTGTGATGAATAAGGTCCCTGACAATTAAAATTGTATATTCAATTACTCTCGTCACCATTGAAATCTCGAGAAGGTAGGTTTGCACCCACGCAAAAAAAGTTTAGCCTAAAAACACCAATAGAACAGCAAAAAATTTATACAGCTTCGCACAGAATCCGAATCTATGTGCGTCATCGAATTTATATTAACCATTCTGATATATGTCACGTTCTTGTTTTTTTTTCTGTTTTGGACACCGTTCTTCATATAGTCGATTAATTTATTTAATCTAGTGAATAGTTACAAATAAATAATATCATAAAATGTGGTCATGTACGTATTATTCATGTTTAGAAATGAATAAATCTATATGTAGTTATTGAAAACGTGTATATTTATTCTTACAAGAACAAAACAAATAACAAAAATAAAAACAAGATTATATGAGACCATATTCCAACCTTTATTAATACAAAAATTTTTGGTCATTTGGCGGTTGAATTATTTTATTGAATCAGTAAATAATATTTAATATCAAATTATAGGTTGAGTTTACGATAACGAGTAGTGCAAACGTCACTGGAAAACATATAACATATAAATTAATTCCAAAATCAAAATGGTGAAGCATCGGTAAATTTGGTAAGATTATAAATTCGTAGGGAATGAAAATCAATGTTCGACTTGCGAGAATGAGATAAAATGGTGTAATATTGGATTCGTAAAGATTGATTACCATAATTGAATCTTTAAAATTAAAAAAAAAAAGAACAACAAATTTATGAGAAGAACAATGAGTAGAAATAGCGAATAGATGAGGACACAAAACAATATATTTTATGGACGAATTGCTTCTCACCAGACGCACTTCTGAGACTCGAGCGATCTCAGTCACATATTCATAATCAATGTAAATCATTCAAAGAGAACTTAACATTTGAATTAGGTGGTAGAAGAAAGGACAGAACATTTTAGTATGAATCTTTTATCATATGTTTCAGATATGAGACTGTGGCAAGTATGGTACTTTTACATTGTTCGTTGTCATTTGCTCAGGCCGTTGATTCCGGCGTCTTTCCTGCAGGTGTGGGTGTGAGTGTTCTATTAATCTACACCCACATCCACACCCTATCGAGTATTCTGATTATTTTTGATTAAAACCGATTCAAAATCGTACATAAAATCATTTTAAATCAATTTTGTGCGGTTAAAAACGATAGAATTTTAATCCAGGTTTGTTTGCTTTACATAGATTATAATCGATTTTTTGCATCACTTTTTCTTCACGAGAAATATCATCGAATCCATCGTTTCCAGTGATCCATTCTAATATTAATTCTGTGATAGCAATCGTCACTAATTGATCATAAATTGATCACTAAAAATGAAACTCATGCATCTCACAACGAAATTTGTAAATGATTAACCCATCTTTGCATCATGGAGTTGTTTCTCTAATATAATCGAACCAAATGAACAATAGAGCTCAAATACAAGCCATTATACAACCTGTTGCTAGTTGTATAGATGCTGTTATCTTTTGGTTTTTCTTTCTGATCTTTCGTATTTTGTTTCAGAAATAGTATAGCTGTTTCAACTTTTCGTGTGCACAAATTACTGGCTCAGTATCGCAGAACAGAACTCTTTCTCTAACTAATCATTGACAATAGTGAAAATATTTGCTTTCATTTGCTACTATAGGTCTTAATGAATATATATTAGTTAAAATAGTCCGAAGAAACTATTTAAAAAAGACTTTCTCTACTGACAGTAGATGTCATAGCTAAAGCCTTCCTGATATCGAAGGGAGGGAAGTGCTTTTCCAGAGTTCAATTAGTTTTTCAGTAAAAATTAAAATAAGAATTCAGAAGAATGATTGCTATCAACATAAATATAAACTTTGAATGCCCTGTGAACATATTTCGGTATATAGGAATTCAAAAAACAATGGAATGGCCTGTTCGTGTAGGATCGGTCGTATTCAAAAAAAAAGGCGCTTGTCCCATCAGATTCTAAAGTAATATGAATAAAAATTTCATATTCGAGTAGAGTACATACAGTTGCACTAGAAACCATTGCAATTAGTTTATAAGAGTTAGAAGAGTAATCAGTAGAAACAATCATGAGTATGAGAAAAGGACCAAACGAAAAGTGTCTGCCAAAATTGAAGAATCGTTTCTTCTCTATGTTACACAAGAAAAATCATCATACTAAGTCATAATTTGATATTTCAAGCAAAGAACTACAACAACAATGATTTTCATTTCTTCAAAATTAAACCTTAAGGCAAACCGAATCAAAGACAATTGCCTCCGTCAACATGATCCGAACACCAAAAATAGGCAGTTCGTGTGACATTTCAACTCACACAACACTTCTTTATTTTTGTTCTTGTATTTATTAGAATAATTTTTCTCATTGACCGAAAAATTTTCTCTGTATGCATAATTTTTCAAAAACAAGATCGATATTTAATGATCGAAGAAAATATATTTAGTCTATAGGTTTCCACCAAGCCCAAGTAAGAATGCCTGGTTCAGCTCCAGGAAATGATGTATGACCGGCAACACATTGAAATCTTTTGCCTTGATATAATACTATATCATTAGTTTTATATTGAACACCATTAGATGACCAAGTAGTTGAACCACTTGATGGAGGAGAATTTGTCGTAGTTTCTGGTTGTGCAATTGTTGGTCTTGCAGTTGTTTCTGGATCACTAGAATAAAAACTGTTTTTTTTGCTTCCGAAACATAAAAACATGACTTTTGATTTACCTAGGTGGAATAATAATAGGAGGTATTATTTCAGTAGGTGAACCATTCCCAACAATCGAAATATCTGAACAACCCATGAATGTTTCATTTTCAATACCCATTCCAAGACCTGATTGACCAGTTGTAGGATCTGTACCCCAACTATTTCCTGTTGTATATTTCCATTGAAAAACACAATGTCGACAAGCAACATCTGATGGAAGTTGAACACGAACAGTAATTGCTTCTGAACCATATTTATCAACATCACGAAATCTAGTTGAATCCGTTCCAGCAATTTTTAATACCCGACGATCAAGACATTCTTGTGTTGCATCTGAATTTGGATTACTATCCACATTACATAAACGAAATTCAAAATGACCTTTATGATTAGCTGTTAACTATCAAAACACAATAACAATTCAATACTTTCATATATATATATATATAT